AGGACATTGACAGATAGTGGCTGAAACCAGGTCTAGTTGCCTGGATACAGAGGCTCACCCCTCCCAGGAGAAATACTAAGGTGAAGAGTCTATCACAGTGCTTGCAATAAATGACACCCAAATCTATGAGTGTAAGCTTGTGTATTTGAGAGCTTGCATATGTATGTATATATTGATCTATTCTGTGTGTGTCTGAACATGTCTGCTTGTATGTCAGCATGTGTATCTGCTCATGGGGTGCATGTCTATGTCTCTGAGTGCATGTTTGGTACCTGTGTGTTGATATGGGGTAAAGATATCTATGTGTGTGCGTGTGTGTATGTGTATACCACACACATGCTAGGCATTTGAAACCAGCCTCACAGGCTAATATTGAAAGGGACCATACATGGCTTGGCAGCACATTAAGGATTTGTATCATTATTTCTGGAGCAAGGGGAGCCATTAACATGTTTACAGGCAGGAAAATCTTGCTCATATAATATGTGGTCATGCAGAGACTATTCACCCATCCTCTGACTCGATCTACATGGTGAGGGTCATCCCTTCCAGTCTTGCATGGAGTATCTCTGAGCCTGGTGCCTTTCTGCCAGACTGAGCTGACCTCAGAGGGTCAAACCTCCAGTTCCTGGCAGCCTGGAGCTGTCCTAGGTTGAGTCATGGCATGTAAGTAAAATCACACTTAAGTAAATCAGCCAGGGACTCCATAGGTACTGAGTAAGCAGGTAATTTCCCCAGCCTCCACCCAGAGTCTTGGCTATGCTCCTGGGGGCTGGGAACTGGAGGGAAGTCAGACCAGGTGCAAGAACAGGGCCTCCAGGACTACAGTGAAGAACCATTGCCCTGGGAGAGGTAGAGGGAGTGGCAAGGGGTGGAGCTGAGAGTATCTGTTTCTTTCTCTGTCTTCCTCTAGAAAGAACCAGAGAAAGTGCTGTACTCTGGTAGAGGATTCAAGAAGGCCAACAAATATACACAATTGACTGAATGTTGGCCCCCAAAAGGTATCCACATCCCCAGCCCTGGAACTTGTGAATATGTTTCCTTACACACAAAAGGGAGCACAGCCATGCAGTAAGTGAGGGAGGGAGATGTGCAGAAATCTGGGGAAAAGCGAACCAGGCACAGGGAAGAGAATGTGTGAGAACCTAGGGCAGTGGCCTGCTTGCTCAGCTGGAGCAGAGTGAGTGATAGGAGGTATATGGGAACTCTCTGTACTTTCCTCTCCACTTTCTTGTGAACCTAAAACTGCACCTAAAAACCAAAGTCTTTCTTCAAAAAGTGACAAAACCAGGATTTGCAACCCAACATACATAATTGGTCCTGGGAGACCCACACATGGTCATGGTTTAACACTTATACCTATAATCCCAGTACTCTGGGAGGCTGAGGTGGATAGATTGCTTGAGCTTAGGAGTCTGAGAACAACCTGACCAAGAGCAAGACCCCATCTCTACGAAAAATAGAAAAAACTAAGCCAGGCGTGGTGGCTCATGCCTGTGATCCTAGTAGCCTGGGAGGCCAAGGCAGGTGGATTGCCTGAGCTCACAGGTTCAAAACCAGCCTGAGCTAGAGCGAGACCTCAT